CATTGTTCAGTTTTAAGGTTGGACTCACTACACCCACAACTAGAGCTTTGTCTGGTGTAGCCAAGTGGTAGAAGGCTTCCACTTTGGTGGTCTCAGGATCTCATCTGTACTTTTTGCAGATTACGTGCCCTCCAGCTCGTACTGGGATTGTTTGCAGCTGAGTTTTACTCATTTGCCAAGACCCGTTATTCCTTCACATAAAAGCCAGCTGCCATTATGACCCGGTTATGGGCACTTCCTGGGTAGGGTGTTCTGGGCATACTCAACACTCATTGGAGGACAGCCCAATGATCATTTTTTGAATTGATTATCCCATATCTTGCTTAGCTCTGCACCTTCATATCCTACATTTCATTTTTAACCACATAAGTGCTTCACTAATCACATGAAGGGGCTTATCTGGCTCTAACTGAAGATTTGTCCACACACTCATGCAATCTTGTGTATGCTCCACAGCAATGTACACAAGGCTTGGTACTTAAACTGCACACGGGCATAAAAGATCTCTTTTTGTTTATATACATTGGCATTTACAATGCAAAGACTTTTCATCTTAATTTTTTTATTTAAAAAAAAATCTTTACAGATAAATAAATATCATGTTCTGTGCCAGATCAGTTGTGAATAATCTGGATTAATCAGGAAAACAGTTTGTCTCTTGAGTTTTTAAATGAGTTAAACAGGAACAGCTGTATTTTAGAGGTTTCTGAACAAGTGAGCGTAATGTGTGGTCCACTGAACAGGAGCTGGAATGCTGTCGTATGAGACAATGTGTGACGAAACATTTCTCCCACTGAAAACACTACATCCAGATGAACAGAATCAACCTTTTGGTATCCACTGCTTACTCTGACAATGCACCAGAGAAGTTTACTTTTCAAAGCATAGCACTGTATATGTATTTGGATTTAAAGTATAGATGATCCTCCTAATAAAGAGTCTTACAGTTTCTGAATACCCAAAGTTCAGGTCAGTATGGACCATTCTCAATATATGTAAAAACATGCAAGTTTCAAAGTGCATCTTTGAGATGCTCTGTGGTTTTTTATTTCTATGGTAAATGTTTGATCTAGTTAAAGATCAAACATGCATTCATACCTTCCTCTCAAATGGAACTAACAGTCACTGGTGAACTCAGAACAGTTACTATTTGGAAACTGATGTTAAAGGAATAGACAATTCTGACAATGACAAAGTCATTCACATCATTAAGGAATGTACTGCTTGAGTCATGGTCATTATCATGAGAATACTCGAGAATCAGAGAGCTCAATCAGCAGTCTCAAAGCATAAGTACTCACTTCCCACAACTCCTTTCCTTTCTCTGATGGCTCTGTTGTCGATCTACCAGCTGCAAAAGATGGAAAGTGCCCTCATGTTGTGGCTTGATGAAGAGCCTCCTCAAACAGCATAATCCTTGAGGCCTGTGCAGTACGTGGAAGTTGGCCTCTGGAGCCTTGCATATGATTGACTCTGCCATTGTGTGTCTTCAGCTGTCCTTCCAAGTGTGGTTTGACAGGTGAATATCCAATGACTGCTCATCTGTCAGACGCCCTATTGTAATGCCACCACTGGACTCTGGAGTGACAAATCACGCTTCTCTGTCTTGCAGTCTGGGGAATGAGTCTGGGTTTGGCGGTTGTCAAAAGAACGGTACTTGTGTAAAGTTTGGTGGAAGTGGGAATATGATGTAAGGTTGTTTTCAGGAGCTGGCCTCGACCCCTTAGTTCCAGTGAAGGGAATTCTTAATGCTTCAGCACACCTAGACACTTTGGACAGTTTCGTGCTCCCAACTTTGAGGGAACAGTTTGGGGATAGTGCCTGTATTCCAACATATAGACACGGATAAGCAGGTTTGATGTGGAAGAACTTGACTGGACTGCACAGAATCCTTTGTGATGTTCAACAGCAGGTCAGATTTGCTGTTAGACCCCACTTCCAGTCTTTATGCTAAGTGAGGCTAATTATCTCCAGCTCATCTCGTCATGGCAGCCTATACGGTCAAAGTACCGGCCGATCATGCTCTAGATCTGTCTCTGCCTGTCCTCCTTATGAAAAAGCTCTTGGAAAGACATTGGTGGGAAATGTCCATCTAAGTGATAGTTATTTGGTATCCTGATGATGAACAGCCTTCTAGGAAGCTCGGTTTGACACACACAGACTATCCTTACCTTGGTCCAATAGTTCTCAAGTTCTGGGCAGCATTGTGCCCATTGTTGGCAATGCCGATCAAAGAATGCCTGCTGTTTTGGTGGGGAAGATATTCAAGAGAAGGCAGATTTAACAAAGTTATTACGAAGTAATGGCTTGATTTGGACCCACAGTGGTGAGTTTGTTTTACTCGTTATCTACTCACTCTTCACCAGATAAATTTTTATTTGTCTATACACCTACAATTTAGACAGTGCTAACCTCCTAAGCCCTAATCTAAGGCCCAATTGAATAACCTCTGTCTTATTTCATAAGACAAGCTAAATAATTAATAGCAGTGTAAATGGACTGAGTCTTATATAGCCCTTCTCTACTCTCCCAGAGTACTCAAAGCGCTGTAAACAACATGCCTCATTCACCCAATCACAAGAACTTGCTTCTATACTTAAGTGCAATCTAACCAACATTCACACTCCTATTGGAGAGCAACTTGGGGTTAGTATCTTGCCCAAGGATATTTGGCATGTAGCCTGGGGAAGCCAAGGATCAAACCACCAGCCTTCCAGTCAGTGGCTGATCTGCTCTACCACCTGAGCTACAGCCACCCCGGTGGTAGTTGGTACTCCTTACTGTGTACTCCTGTCTTCTATATGGTCTAAGCCTGCAACAGAGAGGTTCTTTTCTATAGATGACCACCACCATCATCAGGATCACCAAACAAAACACTACAAAGAGGTTTAGGACAGAGACAGAACAACAAGCTGTTACTGTTTCAGCTGTTTCAAGCTGCACATATAATATAGTTCATGCAGTGAACACAGCCATTTGGTACAACCAAGTTATTTACAATTCCTAAATATTGAACCTACAGACTTCTGCTTGTAAATTTTACTTGACCCAGTTCTCTTCATTTTTATTTAAAGATTTTGTGTTTTCATAAATGTATTAGCAGTACATCTCACAGTACTTGATTTAAATTATAAGCCAAAATAATTGAAAGCATTAAAAGAAACCCACTGCTATGTAAACGCGTAATATAGAAGAAGGATTATATTACTGTATTAATGTATTGTTACCTTAAACTTTTTAATGTTATACACAGTGATGCCAAAGCAACTTCAACTCAGAACAAGTAATTGCTCTCTGTTGATGTCAGGGAAAATTCAACTATTAATGAATCCATGTTACTCTGTTATGTTAATGCCTGAGTGTTGCAATGTGCTATTAAAAAGGCTCACGCATAAATGTCAACAACAGAGACAGCTTGTCATCTGACAGTAAATACTGTTTTGTGTTCTGCATATCATATGGGTCAGCTGTTCCACACTTCAGTTTCATACGGTGGAACAGTTTGTAATGAACCTTATGCGAAGTATAATAGCGAAGTTCTATGGTCTCACATCTGTCCGCTCCCTGGTGTTGCCGACTAAATCTAAGCTTGACATCACTTCCACTTTCCCGCACTGTCAAGCTGTTTGTGACATCCCTGGTCTAGTCCAATCATCTTCTCCCGGCCTTTTTCAGGCCAATCAGCATTCGTGCCACATACTTTGAATCTGTCATTCTCCTTTGCAGATGCCTTCATGCAGCCCACCCCCTCCTCATCACCACCTCTCATCACTTAGGTTCCATCTAAGCCACTGTCTTCATCTCCACCACCAGCGTCTAGACTCTGGGGGGTCCTCCTCTAATCCCTATCACACCTGGGGTTCTGTTCCACTGAGTCAGGCCATTGGAGTCTAACCACCAAATATCTCTATCTTTATTCTCTACATCAATAAATCATGTTCATTCTTTCTAATGGCCTCTCCTTATTGAAATAATAAAGCCCTCCTCTGGATAAATTACACAGAACCTTTTGCACTGTGCCCATTGATTATATCAGAAAAATTAGCCCTTAAATCAAAAGCATATTGATTCTCCTTTATTCTCCTCTCATGCTGTTTTCAGAGGGAAACATATGTTGAAACCTGAATTTACACTGGATTATTTGGCTAGTAGGCCTTCCACTCCCTTCCTTACATTTCCCCTTCAGGTCTGCTGAATTTTGAGCTGCTAATATGTGCAGCTCTGGGCAGAATGCTGTTTATTTCTAAAGTGAACTGGCTCCATCTTTGTAAATAAATTATAGTGCATTATTAGTAGATCTCAGTGTGATATTGCAGAAAATTTGCAATATGCAGTATCACAATAATTTGCCCTGCCTGTTGTGATCCAATTGACCAACTCATTTCCTCCTCCCTAGGATTTCTATAAATGCAATAACAGTCACTGAACTCAATAATCCTAAAGCCTACAATACAAAAACAAACATTATTAATTGATTATAATTAACCTTATAGATTTATGTTCTTCAGGGCAGACAACATCCTAACAAGTAGGGTTTTTTTCATGAACTCAGGGACATCACAATGAATTATGGCATTTTTCGCCTCTCCTTTCATAAGGGATGAAAGGAAATGAATGAATAATAATAACACTAATAATAATAATTTTCAACTACTTTAACAGAATTTCCCAAATGAAACATTTGTTATCTTATCCTGTCTCATTGTTATTTCTACTAAAACAACTATAATTAAACGGAACATACATTCGTCTCCGTTTTTTAATATCATAGTATCATTGTTTTGGAAATATACACAGAGATCCAAAGCACTGGGTAAAATAAATGATGTCGAACTTTATAGATCGAATATCTGAACTCTTGAAAGAAAAACCACCACAACAAAAAAAAGTGACAGCCATTCAATCCTTCTCGGTCCATCCTCTGACCACTCATGCAGCGTGATGTGCGTGAATCACGACATACCATCATGTGGAGTGATGTAGGCAGAAGCCCACAGACTGTGATTCACTGTAAAGGAGGAGCCAGTTAAACAGCGTGGACTGTCGGAGAAGAGAGGAGGAGAGAAGAAAGCGAGCTGAGGGCTGTGAGACGACGAGTCGGCTGAAGCGAGAGTGCGAGGTTTACCAGCTTTTTATTTCCTCCGGAACCCTCGACGCTGTCATAAAGAAGCCTGTGAAGTGAAGGACTCTCAGGATGGAGCGGATGGAGTCAATGGAGCCGATCTCGGCATACTACACCACGGATTACCCGGAGATCCAACCAGACAGTACTTACGGATCCAAAGAGACAACCGAGAGCCAGGCAATGACTCCACCACCTCCAACATATGACGAGGAGTTGGTGCACAAGGTACGACCATATGGTCATCATGATACAACAACAGGTTTCATAGCCAGGAGCACTTTTATGCACTTACTTGCTGCGCGTTTTTTTCACGTGATTTTGCTTCTTGTTTATTTCTTCTTGTTTATTACTGGTGAAATGTGAGGAAACGTTTCTAAACCCCGCAGCATCCCGGTCCTTGACCGGATTTGCGCTCACGTGGTGCTGATTTACATTCAGATGCAATTTATAGTTGGTCTGTTTCCAGCCCTAATGTGTGTCAAATCACTTAATTCCTTCTGAGATGAGCTGTCAGCTTACAAGAAGGTCCCCCTTCACATATGAGCCGATTACTTCCTGCTGTCAGGGCAGGAAAGCTTTAAAAGAGGTCACTTTCTTTGAAAAAATGTCTTAACCAAACGCCAAATTCCCAAAGCAATCCTCACATTTAGGTGTTGATCACCAAAAAGTGCTGTAGAATAAAATTACATTTCAAACTCAAATTTTAGTTGACAAGTACACTTTCAGTTTCTCCTTACTGCGACCCAAAGCTCAAATAACCCATAAATACAACAGTAAATACACTAATTTATTTCTGACACCTTAAATTCCATAACTCAAACACACTAAAATACACAAACACACTAAAATGTCAGAGTGAATGTGATCCTGTTTTGACTGTTGTCACCAAAACTGTACAATATAGCCATTTGTCATTCAAAAAGCTTAATTGCGCTCGCAGCAAGCAGTTAAGTTACATTAATGTCTGGATTTAAAGAGAACCACTGAATCCTTCCTGGTGCTCCCATTTGACCTCACTGTTGATGGAACAAAGATAAAAGAGGAGCTCCCTTTAGGCTTCAGTGAAATGTCACATTGTATTTCAGAGCTGTGTTGCAGAAACCATTTCCCTTCAGTCTGGAGGAGTCATGTCATTCAAATGGCATATCTTTCTTCTGATAAGCATCTGGCCTCCAGCCTGCTATGTTCTAATTTCTCTCTTTTTAGATATAGCAACTGAGCAGAATTAGCACATCAATACTCTGATTCAACTGATAAGACATAAACTTTAAAATAAAACTATCCGGTAAAGTCAAAAATGTATTCCCTTTAACTAGCTGCCTTTAATTGCCTTAGAAATTTATTATAATCTTGCTACTTATTTATTTATGTTTGCACTCATAAATGTCCCAGATCATTGGGTGCACCCTTGGTTTAGGTTCAGGGTTATTGGCAAGGTTAGGCATACACTTATTTTTAAGTTTATAGAGAGAGTCTCTGGGAAATTAACAGAATCAAATTCACTTCATCTCTCTGAAGTCTAAAGGCATGTGTATGTGTCATCTTAGTGTGGAATGTGATTGGTTGGGACCAAAATGCAGACCCTAAAGGAAGGTAGAATTAAACATGAAATGAATTAGAGCAGGCCGGGCCCTGCCATTGACTGACCTAGGTGGAAGCACTGCTGCAGCACACAAAGCATTGATATCTCCACCAAGCTGGGTGCAGAGGTGGTGATGGACAGCATTACGGAGGACCAGGCTTACTCTTTGAAGATGGCGGGCTCAGACAAAGCCTATCTTTTAAATGCAATTCAGAGTTTCCTTACATAGACTTGGGCTGGGAAGCAGCCGATTATTGTTCAAACAACACAATTATAATTTGTGAAATTGAAAATGAAATAACTTTTTTATTTTATATATATTTAATATTTTTATTTTATGAAAAGTCTGGATGTACCTCTTTACCATTCTCATGCATGTGTGTACATGCACATGTGGTCTGCGTCACTGCCATAACAAATACATTCTGTGCACTGCCAGCTATAAGACCTTATGCAGAAACGTTTGTGATTTTCCTAGTAATTTCAAATGAATTTCAATCATAAAAAAGGTTGTGAATACTTGTGTAAAAAGATATTTTAAGTATTTAAGTTTTAATAAATTTACTCCCAAACACTCCAAAAACCATCATCACTGTCATGGGGTGGATTTTGTGTGTAGATTTACTCGGCATTGTTTGGCTGTAAAGGGCTAAGGAATGCAGTGCGAGTCTTCACAAAGATAGATGCAATTCTAACATGTGACTGTTATATCAGCTCACACATATACACACCACACACAGACTTGTAGTGTCAGGGAAGCAGGTGCACTGAAAGGGGTCATATTCTAAGAATACACCGTGTTCTTTGTGTCTAAATCAAGAAGAGTAATTTCAAGTGAACTTGAAAAAGTCAGTCTTGCCTTTTTGCCCTTCCTTTGCCAATATAAATAATAAAGGGACTAAAAAAGGTTTATCCTATCTTTTGTACTCACTCTTCTCAGGCTTTCACTCTGCCTTACTTTTTCCTCCCAGGAGGAGTTCTAATTACACAACAAAAAAGGCTCTTTTTAAGAGCTCGTTGGTGAGGCCAGTACTTACTCATGAAGCTGAAATGGTTACAGTTGCTTTGTGGATTCCGTTCTGTTATTAATTCTCCCTTCAATACTCACAGTTGTCCCAGATGACATTTTTAATAAAGTCAACCTAATACTGCTTTTGTAATATTTTTGGAAAGATTAGCTTAGAGACATCTTTACAGACAGAGTGGTTTTGTATTTTTTCTTACTGCCAATATTTCACATTAATACCCACAAAAACATTGCATTCTTTTGTATCTCGCAGTGGTTTCCTGTTTTTTCCATTCTCTCCATGGCCCTCATCCAAAAGACACATTTTTAAAGCTGCAAAGCACTTTTTTTTTTCTTTTTTTTTTCATTTTAAAAAAGTCTGTAAGTGTAGTAAAACCATGGTAGCTACCTGTCCACCACAAAAAAGCAGACATCACTATCAACTAGCTGGTTGAGTGTTTAGCTAAATAGCAGCAGACCAAAACAGAACTAAAAAGGTGGATACAGGACTTTAATTTGTCTAAAAAAAACAAACACTTGGTCTTACAGATTGCAGGGCACATTGACTTTTAGTATTGGAAACAGTGACTTTATCGCCTGTTGTTCTGTGGTTTCAAACCCCAGCTGTGCAGTATATCAAAGCTTAAATCAGTGGCAATTTGGAAACTGTCAAGCTAAATTACATTCTGGTCAATACTGCACATGCTCCAGGAAGAGAAAAGTGACATTTCAGAGAACTGTATCACTCTAAATTCACCACATCCCCTAATGCTGTTACTCCAACGACTTGTAAAAAGACATCCCATGCTTATTGCCTCAGTAACCTCCACAGAAGCTCATACTGAGGCTAGAAAGGAAATTTGCAGGCACTTAGCAATCTGCCTGTGAACCACAGAGATGAGAGAAATCTAATTCTTCTTTCTCTCGCGCACTACAACACATATACACAATATACATCATCAGTGTGTAATTCCCAAACATCTGTGGTGCATTCGCCTCATTACCTCCTGTCTCTAGAGGGGTTTCATGAGACAGTCTCACTTCTCGGCTAACTACAATTTAGTAGCATCACCATATGTACGTGTGTAGTGAGTACAATGAGTATGTTTTTTTTTTCTCAGCACTAATTCCATCTTCACATGTACACATGGAGGCATTATGTTACACACTCTCAGTTATGTCCAGTAAAGAGGGAAGTGATACAGCTGAATCACAGCAGGATCAGATCAAAATATTTAAATAAATTATTGTCTTCAGATTTAGATGCAGTCAGTGGCTTATGTGATCACAGACTGCATGTAAAAGACGGATGTATCTTCCACATCCCAAAAAGTTAATTCTGTTCATCTGGACGTGGCGTTTTCAGTGGGAGAAACATTTCCTCACTCATCCAAGTGACTTCTTCAGTCTCAGCTGACTGCAGATTTCCCCAACTTTATAAACAGTACATGTGCATAATGACCGAAACTAGAATCAATGGTGAAAAATGGACTGTCAGGTCAGTTTCTTGATCGTTAATGTGATCAACAACCACTGATCAAAAACCATTGATTAATGGCCATGAGTACCATTCACAGAGAGCTGGGGAATGGCTGCAATCACAGCATTATAAGATGGTCAAAGATGTACCCTTAGGCACCCTCTTCAATTCAGAGATATCTGTATCTGTGGGGATGGTGTTCGCTCTGCGTTGTACCATCCTGATGACACCCAGTTTGTGCTTCAGTGGATGAAGCAGAAGCACAAGCCTTAAATAATGATCCGTAAGCGTAGGTTTATAGTACACATCAACTTTCAAATGTCCCCATTACTGATGGAAATCTCACAGTCTAAGAAGGTTAACCTGTCATTTTTCATATCATCTGTGGTGAGCCTGAAATAATTTTTCTACTGAGTTAATGTGATCAGTGAAATGTGGTATATCCAGTACACCACTTCCTATGTCCCTACGAAGTAGTGTACTGGCAGATGTTAGAAAGTTTGACCTGCAGTCTTACCAACAGCCATCAGGAGTAGACTTCCACTCTTTAGAAAAAGAGCCCTAATCAGGCACCAACTGGGTACCTGGTTATCAGCACCTGGAGTACCAGAAACTCAAAATAAGAGTCAATAGCAGAATAATCTGTTTGACGTTGGCAGAGAAGATTTGGTTTTTGATGTACACAACCCACACACTCAACTCTGCTACTCAAAATGCATATGCATTTTTTGTGGCACTATTTAAGGAGAAATAAACAGATTTTTCAAAGCTATCAAATTTATTGCCTAAAAGCATTATTACATCAAAGAAAAACCAGATACAAATTTCCTTAGGTTTATGCTGTGAGTTTTACTGTGCGGCTCCCCACCTTTCAGGACACAGTAAACTGGAAAAGCAGAATACATGTAAAGCCTCTCTGTACAAGGTGTATTTCAAAGGAAGAATAAGGAAGTGAATTTGCTGGTGACTCCTGAGTAAAGCTGATATGAAAATTCACTGGATGACTGATGAGGCAGTATCCATATTTAATCCAGCACACTGGGATGTAACTCTTTTCTAAAAATCCTCCATATGCTGAAATCAAATGAGGCTACAAAAGCTGCTTTAGCTTCTCAGCTCTAATCCTTTCCTCCATTCCCCCCACTTCTTTTATTTATCCCTGATCATTCATAAAGCCTTGAGGCAAAATTGAGTTCAACCACTGCCTGGTTTATCTGATGAGTGTCATGCCTTCACTTTTTTCTTGATTTGTCTTAGTTCTTTACAAACTGCTCATCATCAGATCAAGTTCAAGTTCAAGAACTTTATGCATTCTATCCCAATTTATGAACCTTTTTCTATTAGTTTAGCATGCCAGAAAACTCACCTGCTATTATTAAAGCAGCACTGAAAAACTCAGCGCTTTAACCCCTGGGCCATTTGTCATTCAGTGCAATTTTAAGGCAGGCCTACTTGTGCATATCTGACCAAGAGCGATAATCACATTTACTGTCTTTTCACACAATATTTGGCCACAATGACAATGAGTACTCCTGAGTTTTATCAAGACAGGACTGGTTGAAAGTTTTGTTGCCTTTTTAAGACCACTTTATTACATTTCCATGGTTACTATTACTAGACATCAAGTGAAGACCACTTCTGACAGCACATCTGCATTTGAATCATAAAGCAACTGTAGTGGATGCTCCAGCCCAGTAGCTCTTCTAGTATTCTACCCCAGTGATTAACGGCCACTGCAGCTAATTAGTGCATAAAATACATTACTGAATGTGTATTAAGGTGAAATCTAAGAGTGTGAAGATGAAGGTTCTTTCATGAGAGTTAATGAATGGAAGTCTATTTTTTATGCCTAACTTTCTTTCTATAAACATAATTAAGATTTTTATTGTCTCAACCTGCCACTCTATAAAATGCATTTGGGTGTAAATGAAGAACTACCCTGGTGCCACAGAGAGGAAAGAATGTGAATTTGGCAAAGAACAAAGATTGGCATTGATTTCGGCACTGAGTTTCTTAAAGATGGCATTTCCTTTGCCTTGCAAAGGGTTACCAAAATATTTACATATATTTTATTCAAAACTTATATGTAGCCAATATACCCTAACCTATGCTTAAAAAATTTAGGTTTAGCCTTTCTGCGATTTTTAAAGCTTTCAAGAACAAACGTTCAAACACAGGTCTTTTCATTGCCTGTCTTTACAATCTACAATCCTTTTAGTTGTCTCTTCCTAAACATAACCACATAATGATTGAAGAAATCCATCATTCTTGTGGCTTACTGCATTATTTACTGCATTTTTCTTCTGGCAATAATATTTATAATATATTTCACTACAGGATAAAATGTAGTCATTTGGCTGTCACAAGATAACAGCCACATAGCCTGCATCAAAACTCCCAGATCACTCCTTGAAGAGAGCAGAGAACAGCTTGACTGTGTCGCACTTACTTAATCTGCCACAGTTAAAGGACACTTTGTGGGTGTGGAGGTGGTGGGTACCCTGGTGTGACTGAAATTAAAGCGCAGTAGACAATGAAATATTGACTGATGGTCCTGGTGACTAAGTTGGATGTGTGAATGCTGCCTTTCATTGATTCCATTGTCTTGAAGGTTATCTCCTCTGGCTTGTGAGTCATGCGGTAATAGTGGTACACTGCCAAGCTCTTAGAAAAGAAAATGTCGGTGCTGCTTGGAAACAGAATTGTCGACCATGACACAGATGTTGACTCACAACTGAAAATTATGAAATGATTGCAAGCATTCAACCATAAAGAGATTTTCAAGGCCAATTGAGACTGCAGCCAGGCTACTTCCTGCTGCTCCCGTATCACTAGGGGTCACCACAGCTTACTCTGTGCCTCTACCATATACTTAGACCATATATATAGAGGTAAGAAATTTAACTGTGGGATTTTATGTGTTTTCCTACAGACAATCCTGGTTGGGGACAGTGGTGTGGGGAAGACATCTCTGCTGGTGCAGTTTGATCAGGGCAAGTTCATCCCTGGCTCATTCTCTGCCACAGTGGGCATCGGATTCACAGTGAGTGCTTGGAACAATTTTTTTTTTTTATGAAATTGGACTGGCTTTTATTTATCCATGGTTTTAGATTTGCCTCTGGCATTTCAGACATTAGCAGTGTGGGAGGAGGCAACCTAAGTGTCATTGTGTGAGAGGTGGGGTACACCTTGGACAGGTCACCAGTCTGTCTCCGTTTTATATATATATGCAGATTATACAACTTATATGTATAATCTGCAAATGAATACTTTCCATCCTCTTTAGAGTTTGCTCATTTCGATAAAAAGCTGATGATTCACATTTGCCACTCAGTGCCATTAAAATCAATGCAGAAGAGAGGTTGTAATGAGCACAGGCAGTAGCTAGTGTGACGTCACTCACTGGTTTGTAAGTTCTTATTATCAAGCCTCAAGATGACCCTTTCTGTCTTGGTGTTTTGAAACCAGATGTGATGAGAAAGGGATGGTTCTCATTGGCTAATGACTTGTGATTGAAAAGTAATTCACCGGGAGTATCCTCCTTTGTGAAACTTATCACTTGATTGATGAAAATTTACAAAATGGGCCAAGCAGATTATTCAATATAGGACGTCAGAGCCAGGGAAACATTTCCTTACAGTCATTGGACTTAGATGTGTTTTTGCACCTACATGTTTCACTTTCCAAGCCTTAAAGCTACATCTATCTTTAATACTATCTACATTAATGACATGAGAATGTAATTAGAACCACCCCGCTGAAATCTTAAATGGTGAAATTTAGAAATATTTTTTAAAACAATTCTGAAGTTTGCAACGATTTAATATAGTATTAAATGAAGCAAGTGGGAGGGTTTTCTTTCCCATAAGTTTTTATACGTTGTGACTTCTTTTTGCAACATGAGTCACCCCCTGCTGACCATTAAAAGGAATGGAGGTTTGAGGTAGTTGTACATTGCCTCTCTCACTAAACATATATTTCAAAATCTGAAGAAATAAAGCCACAACTATCGACAAACATAGATAACTTGTCTTTGTACTTTGCATTTTTAATTTGTTCTACTAGCTGCTCGTACTGTTCTTCTGTTTCTACCTCTCTCAGAATAAAGTGGTGACTGTGGATAACGTAAAGGTCAAACTGCAGGTCAGTAAGTAAATCAGTTCCAGTGCAAAGTTGATGTGCTTACACAATAGCACTCTATTTTTAGAGTAGTGGCTGGTTTCCTCTTGGGCATCACCATTATAAGTGAAAATAAGAAGTAGCCAAGTGGAAACAGGCCAGTTCTTTTCTGTTTCAGATATGGGACACAGCAGGACAGGAAAGGTTCAGAAGCGTGACACATGCGTATTACAGAGATGCACACGGTGAGGCGATACAAACCCTAATCCATATCACAGCATCACAGGTGTTACATTGGCACTCAATTTTTGTTGGTTCTCTTTCCAAAGCTTTGCTCCTTTTGTATGACATCACCAGCAAATCATCTTTTGACAACATTAGGGTAAGTCTGTGTTTGTACCCTGGGAAAATATGAAAATGTGCTACAGTTAAAGATTTATTTATGAGTGTGTTTGTATGTCTCTTGCTTCAGGCTTGGTTAACAGAGATCCACGAGTATGCACAGAGCAATGTAGTCATCATGTTGCTGGGCAACAAGGTAAGAGGAAATTGTTTGAGAAGCTTAGCATGTGGAGCAAAAAGTGCAAAAGAAGGATATGATCTGTGCTGAAGACAGAGCAGTTTCTGGATCAGGGCATTTTGTAAAGATAATGTAAACGAGTTATAAAAGAGTTAGAGCAAAGTGATAGTGCTGCTTTGGGTTCAAGTGTCGGGTTTAAGTATATGTAACAATATGAATGCAATGATAAAAATGTGAGTGGCGCCACATCGTAGGTAGCTTAGTAATAATAACATTTTTAAAAGCTATATATAACATATATGATGCTGTATCACATTTTGTTATATATTAAATTTACAAGTCCTCACAAAAAACAGTGTAAATTTAATCAAATGTACAGTCGCTGCACTACTTCAATCACTATGCGTGTATAAAAGTATCTGAACTACCAGCAAACTACTACAAACGTGTTAGACTACTAGTTTTATTACATGATCTACTCTTCAACATTGAATAGTGGTAGCAAACACTGAAAATTCCACAAGATATGTTTTCCTTTAGAAATATCCTGATTGATCTTGTATATTATGAAGTCTAAAAATGTAAATACTCATACCTGTGCATGGTTTTGTTCAGCTTTAAAAAAAAATAGCTGTATCAAGATGTACATTGTTTTTTTTACTTAATAGTTTAAATGTGTTTATTTTTCTGCACCAAGTCTTTCCTAAAATCCTAAACTAATGTGTGTTTATCAGGCCGACATGAGCAGTGACCGAGCGATCAGGAGAGATGAAGGAGAGAGGCTGGCCAGAGTGAGTATTTTATTTACTTCCATAAAAACAGAACTGATAGCGTTTAATCTGCTACTTACTGTGTTGTGCTCTCTTTGTGTGTTCAGGAGTACTCAGTTCCTTTCATGGAGACAAGTGCCAAGACAGGGGTCAATGTAGATCTGGCCTTCACTGCTGTGGCCAAGTATGACACAGATGCCACACAGTAGCTTTTGAACAGTCCATAAACTATAGATGTGTATGATCTGAAATGGTCCTTGTTTGAGCCAACAAGAAGTCATGTAATGGGACTAAACAAAGATAAATTATTATCATTTGCTTTGCTTTTCTTCTTCTGCCACTAATTTCATTTTCATATGACAGCAGCAAAGTTGTTACTACTGAATTTGAGATTGTTTTTTCACATCGCTCAATTTTATCTCACATCTTTGCTGAACATAGTATATATTTTCAGAAAATTCCAGGATTCATTATAAAGAAATGTTTCAATTCCCTTAGTACTATATAATTTAACGTATTTATTGCAAGGGATTTATTCTTAAGTAGTCCACTACTATTTTCATGATGCTATCTGTGTTTTCTTACCACAATCCTCTGCAGTAGAATAATTCTATCAATATCAGTGTTATCTTCTAAAATATGCCTTGTTCTGTTCTTCAGGGAGTTGAAGCATCGGGCCATCCAGCATCCCAGTGAACCCAAGTTCCAGATTCATGAATATATTGAGGCACAGAAGGAGAAGTCAGGTTGCTGCAGCTACTTTTAAAACTTATCTCCCAACTCTTCCTCCTCCCATAGCTCTGGGCGAACAGACTGTCAGAGACACATTACTGAGTGGGAGGAAGCCCTGTATCTCACTGCTGCTCACAAAATGTTACACTGCCATTCATTCAAGACTAAAAGCCAAACGTACATCAGTGGATTAACCATGCTACAGACCCACACAAATTTTCTTTAGCTGAATACCTCCAACTCTCCAGACGTCAGTTTGCACTACTGATGCTTTCTAAAGTACATTCAAGGAAAGAGTAGTTATTTATTTGATATGTTAAAAAAAAATTCCTGAGGGAATATTTTGTAACTTAGATGATCAATATTAGTCTCTTGTATTTGTTTGTTTTTTTTTAATGCAATTGCAGTCAAGAGTTAGTAAATCTGGAGGCAGGAGCAAACAGCTAGCCTGACCCTGTCACAAACCACCTACAACTCCATAACATAGTTTTCTCATTTGTTTAACATGAACCATGCTAACAGACAGTGTATCCTAGCCTGTTAGCATGAGAACTTTTACTAATTTTGATTAAGCGCAGTGCAACCGATGCTAAAGGAGCCTTTCATTTAGAGAATATTTGGTTATAAATCCAATTAAAAACCTTTTCATGACATTTACATGCATCTTCTATTTTTAAAATTGTATTTATTTATTTATTTATTTGTAAGTAATTATAATAAATTATAATTATCTATATAAAATGTATTTTCTCTTGGTGAAGTTATATGATTCATGTGTCTTTGGAACAGTTATTTTTGTTAATATTTTCTGTTGTTTCCTCACATGTGGACGGTAAGGCGCTAGGCTGGTTAGCGCTTTTGCCTCACAACAACAAGGTTACTGGTTTAAGCCCTGGTTGGGATCATTGTGTGTAGAGTTTGCATGTTCTCCCTGTGCCTGTGATGATTTTTCTCATGCATATTGGGTTAACTGGTGTTTCTAAATGAACTGTAGACCGTATGTAAGGAACTTAAACTACTTGGAGCATGTAGAATAAACATTGGCATGCAGAGCAATGCATCTGTGAACTGTGTCTCTGGGAGAAGGATTACTGTGAAGAGCGAACATTCGATACTAAGTACTTGAGTTGTTGTCTGTTATTTAAGGAGGCGTTATGTACATACAGCATGAGTTGAATAATTTTATATGGTGTTATACTGTGCAAAAGTCTTGGGTCATCCTTGTAATAGTTGCAGCATCTCTGGGGGGGGGGGGTGTCAAACCAAGTGCTCCATTGTCTGTTTTTCTATCCAGGTGTGCTTTTATTGTACATAAAGTGTGTTTGGGATCATTGTCATGCTGAAGAATTAGGCCATTATCAATCTGCTGCTTGCCCGATGGTATTGAATGTTAGTTCAAATTCTGACCATACTTATCTGCATCCGTAATTTGATCAAGTTTTGACAATATCCCCAACATCACTGGGTGAAACACAGCCTCAAACCATGAAAAGGTCTCCACTTACAGATGGCTGTTGAAACTCAACCTCTACTGGCAACTCATTGAGCCAAATTTGAATTTATCACTGCATAAGACCTGTTAGCACTGATTTTCACTCAAGTTCTTGTGTAATTTGGCACAGGTAAGCCTTTTCTCCCTGTTCCCATTCCTTAACAAGAGCCTCTTGACAGCCATCTTTCCACTGAGACCATTTCAGCACTGTAAGATCTAATGAGATGACAGTATTTAAAAAAATTATGCAAACTTGTTGCCTTAGAGAAACTAATTACAGTTTATTTAAGATATACGCAGTACTTTGAATAATCAGATTTTTCTGAGAATGAATTAATGAAAAAGTCAACTGATGAATATGTCAGTTGAAATAAATAATTCGTTTTTAGAACTTTATATAGTTTGTTTTTGCTCTACAGGCCAATTAAAAGCTCAGTTGCACATGCACGCTGAACATGCATTTGAAAGTGCCTCCATTTTTATTTTTGTATAAGAATACACTAATATGAACAGTAAATTTGGGTAATCAGTTTTTAAATGCTCAGGGCTGAATTTAGATCCTCCAACAGATATTTTCACAAAGCTGCATTACATTTTTTGGTTCCTCCTCTCCTGGCAGTAGCATGTATCTTAATGCTACACTGTGTTATTTGCTAACGCTGTAAGAGACATTCTGTACAGAGCATACAGGAGTTTTACCAAAACCTTTGAAATCTGAAATAAAAGAGTGGGAGTACAAGTTTTTATTGACCAGAAAACCATAATGAGCTGAAGAATGCCAAACTGCTACGTAAAGAAGAGGGGAAGTAGTGAGTGGTATTTCTCTCTGTGTCTGTCCCTCCAGGTTACACATTTTAAATAACACGAGTTAATACATTAAGGAAAGGTTGCTTTTGTGACATTTGTTTTGGACAGTAGTCTACAATGCTCTTCTGCAAATATTACTGCTTGATGAGTGTATGTTTGCTGTGTTACTAAGTTTGGACAGGTTTGATATACTTCTAAATTATTCAGATTGTGGTCAGCAGACCTTTTGTCTATTGAGCAGCTGTTTTGTTTTGACAACACCACTGCCACAAGCAGTGTTTTATGTGCTGTATGCTGGATAAAAATAAATAAATTATTTTTACCTGCAGGGGTGCTCTCTTACCTGCAGACAACCACCATAGCCGCAATGGTGTGTGTGTGTGTGTGTGTGTGTGTGTGTGTGTGTGTGTGTGTGTGTGTGTGTGTGTGAGAGAGATTACCATACCCCCGATGGTAATTGGTTGCAGTAAGTCACAACGAGCAAGGACAGATGGACTGAACCAATAATTTACAAAAACTAACGTCATTACTTTGATCTGTTTGTCAGAATCACCATCTAGTGCAGGTGCACAGTTGTAAAAACCCAACAGGAATTAAAAAAAAAGAAACTAATTTCCTGTTTGTAGGCCTGGCCTTCAAAATAATAGCATGGGTTGTCTAACAGTCATCGTAGCCGTTCTAGTACAGCTAAAATAATCTACTCACTAAATTCAGTCCAGATCAAATGAAACATAAACTCCACCTGTTAAGCAGATGGACTTAAGAGAAGAAATTTTGTTGAGAAAGTAGGATAATTACTTTAAACTTTCAGACTTATCAAGTATGTGATGAAACCATCCTGTTCCAAATTTCATCTCATAGTATTTTATTAAATATCTGAATTTATGCTGTTAAAGCATTTCAAGTAACTAAGCTAGGTCATTTTTGTGGGGTCCCATTTTATCTCATATTGCAAGGTTTCATTGATTATTTACTTATTTATTTATCATTTTTATATCATGTATAATTTCATATCGTACAATTTTCTTAAAATTTGATTGGACATTATGTGAGGTTTGGTTAGACCATATGATTTTTATATTTTAAATACTGTGACTGAATATTGTATGGGCTATATAACAGTAAAACTATCCAATCAGGCTGGTTTACTCTAAACATTTAAAATGCTCAATTTGTATAAAGACATGTAACAGTTTTCTAACACCACTTTTTAAAATTATGATATGTCCCTGTACTAGAAAAATACAGGTTCAATAATACATTTATTAAGGTAGTGTGTTTGACTGTACAGATAAAGTCTTAAAGGAAATAACAGTATCATTCTGTATTATGTATTTTCTTTTGACCAGCTGACTGCTAGAGGTACATTTGATTTTATTTTTTTAAGCATGCCTCTTATTTTTTGTGAACATTAAAAACGAACCACTCTAAGGACTAAACATATACTTGCAGTTATCTGGTCTTTGAAAAATGCAATGTATTACCCTGCCTACTAAAATATGTATCTGATTATTATTATTATTAGTAATAATAATAATAATAATAATAATAATAATAATAATAATAAAGAAGAATGATGATGGTTTACGCTATGTGTTTTATTTTGAAAATTTGATGGCGGATGTTCATTTGAATGCGTTAACTTGACTCGTGGTAGAGCCACTGAAGACGGGACCGTGTTAGGTTGGAGTCGGAAAAAAAACCCCAGACGTTGCAACATAGTGCACAGGGGTGGATCTGTGAAACGAGTCAAAAGGCAACATTAGCAGCGGAAATCTCACTGAGACTTAGTTCAACGGAAGTAGAACTGTAGCAAAGTCACTGTGCGCAACAGGTGTCAGTTTCTTTTCGTAAGCTCACTGTTTGAAAGTTGTTTGAATAGGGGGGCTAAAAGTTTTCGTTGGTTAACAAAACGCCAACATGTCAAAACTTCGACCCAGGCTTTGTGTGTTGGAGAAAGGACCCAGCGGGTATGGGTTCCACCTGCACGGAGAGAAGGGCAAGATCGGGCAGTTCATCAGGCTCGTGGAGTCCGACACTCCCGCCTCCGAGGCCGGGCTCCTGGCTGGAGACCGATTGATGTTCGTGAATGGGGAGAACGTAGAGGGGGACAGTCATCAGCAAGTGGTCGCCAAGATACGGGCAACCTCTGGGGCTTTAGAGCTTATTGTGGTGGACCCCGAGACCTCGGAGCTGCTGAAAAAACACAACCTACAATGTCGGAAAGAATTCGTCACAGAAGGAATTCCCATACCAGGCAGTGACAGCGACTCAGACCGCGGGGACACTCAGAGCAACGGCACCCCTGCCCCGCTTGAGAACGGGGATTCTTCCTCGGAGAGATCCGAGAGGCATAGTGTCAGCTCAAGCAACAAGGTACAGTAAAGCGCAGAAACTCACTTAAGTGAGTACTAAACTTTATTTAATGTACCCTGAACTTTCCTTTCTTTTTTAAAGTGTTGTTTTTAGTTTTTTCTTTTCTAATTAAACCCACACTGGTAGACACGTGGAATTGTAAGGTCGAACGTCAAAATGGTCAGCTGTTAATTTCTTGACTAGGAGTGAGTTGTATTTCTTGTATCATTATTATTATTATTCATTACTCCATTAATCTTAAAGGTTGTTTTTGGCATAGTTTTAGTTCATGAAAATACATGAAAGTATATGCACTGCTATCTATGACAAAGATGTGGCACACTGCGGTAATAACGGGTGTCTGCTCAACAGAATGTTAGTGTATCAGATCCTGTCTGCTTTCTGTACTGAATTTCTTGTCAGGTTTGTCCAGGAAATGTGTCACAATTGATACATTCTGAGAATGAGCGTGTCTTTTTTTTTTTTTTCATTTTTAATATTATCTAAAATGATCTCACTGAGAGCTGAGACTGCTGTGAATGTGGTTATTACTCAAACACTCAAAATATTAAGGTATGTTAGAGGTTTTGTGACGTCATTTGGTGCAATGGTAATGTTCAGGGACCTGTCAACGTAACTGGTGGAGTACTATGACATGTTTTCTTTCATTTGTTCACCACAATCATGCCTCTTTGTAAGGCAGAGCATTTTCTGTCAGTTATGAAAGCATTTTATAAGGTTATGGTTTGAAGCGGTCACAAACATGGCAAGAATTTGTTTGCTATGTAACTGTTTAGCCAGTGCAAAGTCTGGACCCAGATTTAAATGTTGTGTAAGAGCATTGCAAAATAGCCTGGAGGTGTGTTAAGCTGTGTTCAGGTCTCAGAATGGAGAGCGGTTTTTATTAAGGATTCTCAGGAAAAAGTGGATTTATTTTATTTTATTTCCAGAGCAAGTGGAAAATGTGTTTACTATAAGCAGGTTGAAAGTTATAAAGAGGGGGGGACTTACAAAACAAGTGTGTTTTCATGTTTTCTGCTACTCAATGAATAATTAATTACTTTTAAAACAAGTTCTTTGTTTCTCACACAATAAGGCCTAGTCAGAGGCTAGCCTCATGAAGCCCAGAACACCCGGTTCACGTAGGAAGAGACTAGCATCACTATAGAACTTATTCTTCATTCAAACTTCATCTTTGAGCTGACTGACCGAAGCGACTACTTGTGGAAACAAAGGACATTGCTGACTGTGGCGTAATCTGGTGAGAAATACATAAACAGTTACATAAGCAACCAGAGCACGGAATGTCCATCCTAACTAAAGTGAGTTGATATTTTGCACAGCAATAACTGCTAGCTGTTCTAACTTTTTTATATGGAAATGCAGTAGTAGCAGTGTTAGCTAATCTCACTCGTGGCCACCTATGACAAATAGCTAATGCTACACTGTACAATTTTAAAAAAAAAAAGATTTAAATAGATAACGGATTAGCTGTCCAAACTCAGAGGCGAAGCTCAGTTAGAGGACCATTACGTCAAGCGCTCATTGAGCTAATGTTTGTAAAGCTAGCTCTTGGGCTACGTAACATTAGGTTAAGAGCTAGATGTTGCTGGCCTTGACTATCGGATTTCTGAGTCTTGTGTTTTGCATGGTGCAGCCACTGCCACCATAATTGTAATCATCTGGCAGAAACCCTGTCAATTTGATATTCTTGTGTAAATTCTTACTTATTGCCTGTTTGTTAAAGTGAGCTTCCAAATGTACTTTTCCTTTTTGCTTGTGTAATACCACTGGTTATCTGTTATCACAAAAGCATTCATTGCACCCATTTGTTATAACATAGTTTCTAATCTTTGGACTTGGCAAGGATTTAAGAAGTTACTCCAGTGGCCCTCTAAATCATTATTGTTAAAGTTGCAAAAGTATCTCATTCATCAAACATACAGCATTTCTACATTCCATGTGAACCAAGTTCCCACCTTTTGCTGTGCTTCTATTTAACTGGAATTTTTATCTGCCTGTATCTTTGCCCCTTGACTTTACACTACGTGTAAAGTGTGTATTGGCTTGTCTGTATTGCTACAAACCATCAGCGAAATTCCTGCCTGATGGGAAACTTGGCAGAGCTTTTCTGATTGTGTGATATTGGCCATTCAGTGGGATACACTTGCTTGTGGTGAAACGATACATGATTTCAGTTTTCCTAAAATTCCATGACATACTTGGATATCTTCTTCTTGTTCTGCAAATATTTTTTTTTCATGTCACATAAAAGCACAAACTAAGTGAGCATGTTAGCATGTACCATTCGAGCTTCCAGAGTCTTCACACTACACTGAGGTTGTCTGTTGGTCACCATAGAGATCCCCGGCAGCAAAAAGAGGCTTTGTCCACAGTGATTGCCTGTGGAGAACAAGGCTTTGAGTAGACATTTAAGTCATTTCTGAGGGAAAATGCAGGTGGATGTAATCACACATAGACTTTATTTTGTGTGCATTGAAAAGTTCATGTATTCCTCTGCGCCTACTGAAGATTATAGTTTTCTTCTCATTGTTTTATTTGTGCTACAACCCTGAGTCTGTTAATAGGTGGATTTTTGAACTTTCACTGAACCATTTATAGGAGTGTGAGAGTTGCATGGTGAGTAGATTATGAGATAATGAGCTCAAAGTCTATGATATTTCTGCTGCAGTTTAAACGTCGACCAACAAACAATATATTCTCATACTGATATAACTGTGATAGGCATATGGGTGTTTTACCACTTACTAATTTTATTATCTCCACTCGATAGGTAATCTCTCTTGTGTAATGACTGTTGAGGTCATTTTATCAAACAAAAAAATGACAAACAGGACAAATGCAAAGTACTGGAGACAGTAGATAAAATTATGTACATGCAAAGATGTATATATAAAAATACAAGAATGGAGTGGAAAGGATTGCACAGTACATTACTGGAAATCCCTCTGCAACCTGAAGGCTCTGTATACCTGCTGTGT